TGTCCTCTACCATCAATAGAAAGAGTCTCATGGGTCTCAGTTATCTTTGGATCAGGTCCCAGAAAATCCCCACATCTGCAGGACTTAGAAGACCAAAAACTGTCTTATGAACAAAATTCTGATCCTGCTACATCGTAGATAACTAAATTTAGATGATTTCAATAAGACTGAGATCCAACCATGATGCATAAATGCATCATCCTGCTAACTTGTCGTAAGACGTATTATTTCAAGTCATTAATGAGCATATTACTAAACACCAAATCTGTATGGAAACTGTAATTACAGCTCTTATTCAGCTGCATAATTGACTTTAAAAAATTGTTTATTGTATCACATTATTTTTGTGCAGTAAAATGCGAAAATACCACATGCTTCTGAGTCAGTTGAAAAACATTCTAAACAAAAATACCATAAGCCTGACATATCAAGAGCAAGTAAATGGTATCGTCTGTGCTCTTCACATCTATCTCCCCTGCTTCTCTTCTGCTTATTACCTGTTGTAATCAAAACAGTGAAGGGTAGATGGCTCCCAAAATGGAATTCTTAAGTAGGTGATGCTCTCAGTTAATGGTCTAAAATTTCAACCTCCATTTCTTGGTCTGCAGAATGAGGAAGAAGTGATTGGTGCATTAGATACAATCATGCAAAAGAAAAGTGAGAAAGACAGAAGGAGGGAAAACATGAGTGACTGGAACTTGATGTGTTTTGCTTTCTTTACTCATTTTCCTCCACTTTACTGGCTAGCAGTAGAATACAGGAGATCAGAGGAGAGTCACAATTCTAGAGATGGGCAAACAGATTAATTATTTGCCACTTTTTGTATTTCTGAGAAGTTGATTGTATCAGCACTTTCAGTAATGAATCTTAAACACAAGTCATTTATCTGGAGTATATATACCACTAAATAAGAAAACAGTGAGTTGATCTTTTTCCAGACCTGAAGGCTGTTTAAACAGTCTCAAATCAACCTTCTTATGCTCAGCTTGATAAGAAACCACTATGCAATCTGTCGGCATCCTACACAGCACAGGCCATCCTTTGATGTTCCAGGCAGGCAGGACCTCATAGCAGTAACCCCCCAGATGGCTCCTGCTCAGAAGTAACCAGAAGCAAATGCTGAAGAGCAAAGACAAGAAAAACATCTATAAGACCTCTCCTGACTACCCTCCTGGCCTTGAGCTACCTTTGGTTCATGGAATTTCCTGAGCCAGGTGTGGTTTACACACCTCTCTCTGCCTACCAAGCATTTGTCCCATTTTCCCTTCATCCCAGCTAAGCTTTTGCTATATCCATTGGCAAATACTCCTACAAGGATGATGAACTTTGCATGACAAAAATCACTGCTTTTTGCATGTTTTGAAGCTGTCTCTTCTCGTCTTTAATTTGATGCCCCCTAGTTTTTGTGCTGAAAGACAGTTTAGACTCCAGAGCACTCATGGCTTTGTAGATCCAGTAAAATATTGGCCGTGGGCTCTCTCTCAAGCTGAAGAGTCCCTGTCAGTTCATGCTTTCCTATTACAGAAGCCATTTCATATCTACAGCCATCTTGGCAGCCCTGCTCTGACTTCTTTCCAGGTCTACTCCAGGAAACCCGAAGTATTCAAGGTTGGGGCAAACTGTGGATTTATGCGGTAGCACAATGACATTTTCTGCTTTGTTCTCACATTCTTTTCCTAACCATTCCTAACTCTCCACAGGACTTCTGATCACTGCTGAGCTCTGAGCTGATGTTTTCACAGAACTTTCTGTTGCGATCCTCAAGCCTTGCTCCTGTGTGGTAACGGTCAAGAGGTCTTGAATCTTCATGTGAAACTAGGAGGTTTTTGCTCGCTATGTGCATTGCTTTACACGATCTGTCTTAAAGCCTTTTCAGGTCCTTCTACAATTTCCTACAACCTGTATTCATCTTTAGTCTGCCAAATAACTTTCTCAGAAGCCAATTTTCTCATTGTACCATCTGATCTTTTTTCTGGGTCATCTGTGAACATATTAAATGGCACAATTTTCAGCCTAGTTCCCTGTTGAACTCCTCTGGGATCAATTCTCCCCTGAAAGAATTAAATGTTTACTCCTATCCTGCATTTCCTATCTGGCCTTCAGTTCTTTATTTAGTCAAAGACTTCTCCCCTTATTCCACTGCTTTAGTTCCTGTCGTGGTTTAAGCACAGATGGAAATTAAGCACCACGCAGCCACTCACTCAGCTCCCCCTCCTCCCTTCCCTGGGGAGGAGAATCAAGGTTAAACTTGTATGTTAAGAACAGTTTAATAATTGAAAATAAAGTAAAATACAATAGCAATGGTAAATAATAATGATGATAATAAAAAGGAAACAAGAAGTGATGCACAATGCAATTGCTCACCCCCTGCTGAACGATGACAGACCCCCTTCCCAAACCCAGACTGGCCGTGCTTCTGGGTAACTCCCCCCAGTTTATATACCAGGCATGACATTCTATAGTGTGGAATATCCCTTTGGTCAGTTTGGGTCACCTGTCCCAGCTATGATCTCTCCCCCTGACAGAGCATGAGACAAGAAAAAAAGTCCTTGACTTAGGATAAACACGACTTAGCAAAAAATCCAACACATCAGTGTGTTATCAACACCGTTCTCATTCCAAATCCAAAACACAGCACTGTAACAGCTACAGAGAAGAAATTAACTCTTCCCTAGCTAAAACCAGGACAGTTCCATAAAAGATTTTGGTCAAGGATTTCACTAAAAGCTGATGGAAAATCAAGTAGATTGTATCATTTAGATGGCTCTTATGCTGACCCCTCGAAAAACTCATTAGAGGTTTGCAAAATAGGATTTTCTTTTATGTAATCTGTGCTACTCTTCCCAAATGGGTCATATTGATCCATATGGTCTCTCATTCCATCCTTTATCACAAACCCTGCTTAACTGCTAGTGCAGATGTCCAGCTTACAAGCTAGTAATTGCCCACTCTCTGTATGGAAATGAGGGTTTGAGTGCAATATGGTTATTTACATCATGAGCTATGACATTTTCTTTCTAAATCTTTCTGTCTCTATGTACCTATTGATCAATTTATTTATTGGTCGGACTTTTCTTTCTTTCTTTCTTTCTTTCTTTCTTTCTTTTCTTTCTTTCTTTCTCTCTTTCTTTCTTTCTCTCTCTCTCATATTGAAATACAGGTTTCACTTTTTTACTTTTTATCCCCAGAATATGGAAACACTGCCCAAGTTGGTGATCACGAGAAAAATTTAAAAACTGGTAATATATTTATAGCAATCCTTAACCTTAAAAGCACTGCATACATTTATCTAACAAAATTCATTAACAGGATGACAATATTGTCAAGGCCTAGATTTGATAAATTGATTTCTGCATCCTAGGATTGTTTTTTTATTTCACATTTGCAGAGTACTATATCTTCTTTAATATTCAGTGCTCTTTACAATCACTTGCTTTTTAATTTTAGGCATACTTTTTTGCATACTTAATCTTATGAACTCCTAAATACTGGTTTATATTTTTCAAAGACCCAACTTTCTGCTACTGATCTAGCATGGTAACCCAGAACAGAAACTGACCATTTAAGGGTGGTGTTGTTGTTATTGATACCATAAATGGAAAAAAAAGATACATCCAAGAAATAAGGAACTGCTGATTTTGATGGTTCTCATTGTGGAACAGAAACAGCTGCAAGTTATAGCTACAAAATGCATAAAATACATTAAATCTGTTGATTGATTAGAATATCTGTTCTAGTTAGTCCATATTTGATTCAAATGTTCATTTAAACCCTTCATTGTGAATCAAACCATCATCATAGAATCTTAGATTCATAGAATGATTTAGGTTGGAAGGGACTTTAAAGATCATCTAGTTCCAACTCCCCTGCCATGGGCAGGGACACCTTCCACTAGACCAGGTTGCTCAAAGCCCCATCCAGCCTGGCCTTGAACACTTCCAGTGCTGGGACATCCACAACTTCTCTGGGCAACCTCCAGTGCCACTCTCCCAGTAAAGAATTCTTCCTTATATCCGATCTAAATCGCTCCTCTTTCAATTCATAGCCATTACCTTTTAAAAGTCCCTCTCCCTCTTCCTTATAGGCCTCTTCAGGAACTGGAAGGGTGCAGTTAGGTCACCCCAAAGCCTTCTCTTTTCCAGGCTGAACAATCCCAATTCTCTCAGCCTTTCCTCATAGAGAGGTGCTCCATTAGTCTTATGACCTTGGTGGCCCTCCTCTGGACTCGCTCCAACAGGTCCATATCCTTCCTGTGCTGGGAACTCCAGAGCTGGACGAGTTATCTCCTGACATTACTGGACTGATCTGCTCAGATTCAATCAAAACCAGGCATGCTGGAAACAAGCTATTCATAAAAGATACAGTTATTGTGAAGTGCCATGGGATCTTAAGCATGTCAAATAACCTTTCCACAGGGATAAATGACAGCTAGATTACTTACTATAAGCTGATATGAGATAGGACAAGGAGTAACAGGTTCTGACTGAAAGAGGGTGGATTGAGATTGGGTATTATGAAGAAATTCTTCACTGTGAGGGTGGTGAGGCACAGGAACAGGTTGCCCAGAGAACCTGTGGATGCCCCACCCCTGGCAAGTGTTCAAGGCCAGGCTGGATGGAGCTTTGAGCAACCTGGTCTGCTGGAAGGTGTTCCTGCCCGCGGCAGAGGGGTAGGAACTACATGATTTTCAAGGTCTCTTGCAACCCAAACCGCTCTGCGATCCTGCGTTTCTACATTTTGTCACTACCCAGACGATTCCAGTGTAGGCTTTTATTATGAAGCGGAACGTGCTTCTGTTTCCTACACAGACTACAAAAACACCCAGATCCAGCAGACACAGCACAGCCTCGAGCACGCCCAGACGGACGGACGCTGCTCGTGCAGCGTCAGCCCCGCCCTGAGGGGGGGGCGGGGGCGCGGCCTGTGCCAGAGGGGGCGTGGTTTGTGCCAGAGGGGGCGTGGTTTGTGCCAGAGGCGCGCGGTCACAGCCACCTCCCCGCCTCCCTCCTGCGCATGCGCCCGTGGCCGGAAGCAGGGCGGGGTGGGGCAGCGGCGGCCATGGCCATGGCGGAGAAGTTCGACTCCCTCGAGGAGCACCTGGAGAAGTTCGTGGAGAACATCCGGCAGCTCGGCATCATCGTCAGCGACTTCCAGCCCAGCAGCCAGACGGGGCTCAATCAGAAATTGTGAGGGGCCGTTGCCAGGCCAGGCCGCGGGGCCTTTTCCCCTCCCACCCTCCCCAGCCTCAGGCTCTCCCTGGCTGGGGTGTTGTGTCCCTGGCCTCGCACTCGTGCAGTGTCCCCTCAGTCGGCTAACAACGACCCATTTTTCTACCTAACAGGAATTTCATGGTGACGGGCTTGCAGGATATCGACAAATGCCGGCAGCAGCTTCACGATATCAGCGTGCCTTTGGAAGTCTTTGAGTAAGTCGCGCTGCGCCTGGAAGGGGAGCTGCTGCTGTCGGGTGACCCGAGGTAGCGTGTTTTTGCAGCCTGAGTATTTTCCCTGTGGGCTGCTTGTCTCTTAAGCCTGATCCTTCTGAATGCCTCACGAGAACATGAGCAGGCAGAAGAGGGTAAGAGAAGTGATAAATTAGACAAGTGTTTTCACAGAATCACGAGACGGTTTGGATTGGAAGGGACCTTAAAGCTCATCTAGTTCCAACACCCCCCCCCCCACAGGCAGGGATGCCACCTGCTAGATGAGTTGCTCAGGGCCCCGTCCAACCTGGCCTTTCAGATCTTTTTTTTCTTTTTTTTTTTTCTTATGTTGACTTTTACATATGTGGGCAGTGACACAGATTTTGCCGAATCTAGTGATTTCATAACATCACAGAATGGGTTAGGTTGGAAGAGACCTTAAAGAACATCTAGTTCCAACCCCCCTGTCATGGGCAGGGACACTAATTTAGTAAGCAAGCTTTTATTTGGGAAATATACTTTTACAGTGGAATAGAGTCAAGATTTAAAGTTGGAGGTGAAAATAAAGCCAGTACTCGGGTGTTTAGTTTCAGGAGTGGCAGAGAATTAAAACATTAAAAGAAAAATCATAAGTGTAGAGGAAGAGCTACACACGAGAAGTTCGGTGATGTAGTTGACAATTTACTGGTGTGTCTTGTAAGTCTAGATGTCACTGGTCTGCTGTATTCTAGTGTGTTACTGGCTGTACAGGTCTTTTTTGACTTGGGCTTTCACTCCAGCTGTAAATTTGTGGTGACAATCTTAAATGTTGTTTTCTTTACTCAGTGATGGAATTTCCCTTTGCCAGCCCCTTGTATTGCAAAGCAGAAATACACATAGGTTCGCTGATACAGTTGTGTTGATTTTTACTCTTTACTATAGTATGTGCCTCCTCATCCTTGAATTGCCGGGTGCTGTATTTCTGTTGTGCTTATTACTCACCGTGTCCTAAGCTACTTCATGGTTACTGCCCTTTCAGTTGCGTGGAAAAAGACCATCTTTCTTCATTCATCTGTACTTCCTGCCTGTGAGGAGCTGGCAGATACATATTTTTGTTTGCTTTTAATAGTTTCTTCAAAGCTGTCCAGGTTTTCTGGAAACAGAGTTTTAAAGAAGCTGTTTGCTGGCCATAGCCTCGTCCTTCTTGAGCTGTCTTTTGGAAATGGCTGAGTTAAACTGTGGGTTTTAAAATGCACATTTCAGATAGTAGTAGAAAGAAAAAGTAAGGTAAATAATGCTGTACAGTAGAGAGCATCCTAGTAGGAATTTGATCATTTAGGCAGTATCTTTTCTATTTTCAGATACATCGATCAAGGCCGCAACCCTCAGCTCTACACTAAAGAGTGTCTGGAGCGAGCTTTGGCTAAAAATGAGCAAGTAAAAGGAAAAATTGACACAATGAAGGTAAACTAGAATTAATAAAATTATTGATGCAATAATATATTTGATAAGTATTTGATAATTACTCTTCTGTAATTATGTAGGTATTTTTCACTTGTGCCTTTATTAAATTCTGTTAATTATATGATTTGTATTAGAAATTGCTCTGCATCCATGAATCTTAGTTGATACTAATATAGCCTGTTCAGGAAGGGAAACTTGTAGTTCATCCCAGATTTGGGGATGCAGATGTCACTATGATTTTGTTTTGGTTGCAGTTGTATTACCAGTACAGATATTTTATTTGGGTTTTTTTGCAGGTCTGTAATTCTGATGCGTGTAAATTTAGAAATAAACAAAAGAAAAGGGGTATTTTTCCAGTCTTGAATGGATCTTAGAGAGTTAAAATGTTAAACATGCACTGTAAGCATGATTTAATTTTTATAAAAGTAATGAAAATGCCAGTGTTTGGGGTTTTCTGAGCTTGTACTTTCATCTAGTATGAACTTAAGCATTCTTTGATACTGTTTAACTGCTGGAACTACTGCCGAAAAGCACAGAGAAGGGAGCTTAGTGAATTTTGAGAAAGGACTGTTTGTGTTTCAGGATGTTCTTTGGCTGAACTTAATTAGTGTGGAGTACGACAAATTGTACTGCACAGTGTAGACATATCTCCCTATTCCCTAAGCTTCTCTTTCTTTTGATATGCTCTGTGCTTGTAAATGTTGTGGGAAGAATTATGTATTTCTAAGCCAAGTGTGAGTGTCTTTTTGAAGGTGGAGTGGGTTCCATATCAGATCAAGAGGACATATCCTTTATCAGTTTTTCTTAATAAGATTAGGCAGATATTGCTGCACCAGAGTTTACTGGAGAAGCCCAGCTTCTTAGTATTTCTTAGGAGAAAATGCTAGATAGTTTCTGGGAATTTAAGAGCATTTTAGTCTGCCTAGTGCATTGCTAGTGGATTTCACTTGAGCATTTTCTGTGGATTTTGTAAGCATAACTTTCTGTGTTTGTGTGGTTTTGAGAGTTTTTTGGGTACTGTTATCTTAGGTCACTGAAATGTGAGGCTGTGTTGTATACAAACATTTCTGTTCATCAGATAACATTGCTTGATGAAATCTAAATAAATTGTTCAGATGATGTATATACATTTTCTTCTCTTTCCAGAAATTTAAAAGCCTGTTAATTCAAGAACTGACAAAGGTGTTCCCAGAAGACATGGCAAAGTACAAAGCTATTCGAGGAGAAGATCCTCCTCCCTAAGTTGGCCTTTTATAGCTTTAAAAATATCCCATAAACTGACACCACCTTATAAAAACATTGATTGGAGAGAGGGGGAATCCAGGCCCTCATAACAACTGTACTAAAAATGGCAGTGATGGGCTGTAAAGGAGCCTAATGATTGTTGATGGTTGTGGTCTGAAGCTGCTTTATCTTTCTGAAGACTTCTACTCAGACACTGTAGTTGAAACTTTCTGTGGTAATCTGCTTTTCTTTCCTGAAAGGTTTTGGAGATTTGTAAATGCCTACAGGTCATCAATACAGAGCATTTCCCACAAAGTGCATTTCCGGAGCAGAAAAACACGGTTTTTTGGCCTCTGAAAACTGTGCCTCAGGATTGTGCACTTGTCTGTTTTTAAGAGAAATACATTTATTACAGTTGATTATTTTTCATTTGTAAACTTTGGGGTTTTTTTAATTGCAGTACAAACAGTTGGCTGCTTTTGTCTTGCCAAATTCTGTTGAGCAGGAGCCTGTCAAGGGCTGCAGTTTTCATGTGTCATAATTAGTTGCAGCCAGGAAAACCTTCAGATGTTTTCTTTTGTTCTATGAGCTACAGTGCAGGTGGCTGAGGATAAAGTGAGCATACCTGGGGACTGTCTCCTCAGCAACTTTAATGTTTTGTACAGTATTTAATGTAAGCTTTTGTTTATTCATATTCTGCAAACACGTTGAATAAAAATTTGAAAAAATCTAAATCCTGAGTTTTTCTGTTGTATGCTGCTCTTTGGAGTGTGAACTGAAAGCTGTGAAAAAATAGCATATTCCTCAGTTCCACGATTTTAGAAATAAAATGCGTATCAAAACTTGGCTGTTAAAATTTTACATCTGAAGGTAATGTCAATTTGGTATTTTGGTTTTGTAGTGAAAACTTCCATCTTAGTAGCTGAAGCAGGAGATTTTGGGGATCAGCAATTGTCACCTGAAGTCCTTCTGGTTAGCTGCAAGGTCATCCGTGGGATCTGTCGATATGTAAGGTGGTCCCGACAGCACACTGGGCACCTCACCCAGGGCTCTGGTGTGTGTGCAGAACACTGGGTTTGCAGTGGGAGCAAGAGGAGCTCTTTTAGTTTTGGGCATTTGTGAAGCTGGAAGTGTTTGTGGTTACGTTTGTTCTTCCAGATTTACCTTTTTTTTTGCAACAGCAAATTATTACTTTAACTTCTAGTTGCTAAACAGAGTGGTTTTGGGCAGGAGCTCCAAAATAGCACTATATGCATGTGCTCCACAGCAGACCTGTCTAGCCTGCTAAAGACCTTAACAGGGATTTAGGTATGTTTTGAGTTGTTGGTGCCATATTTTGCTTACCTGAAGCACCATCTGTGCTGTTACCTGCCTGAAGCAGAGCCCATCCATGATGCCAAGCACCACTGTGCCTGACCAAACTTTGATACAGCAAAAGAAAACCAGAAAACTAGGTGTTCCTTTTAAAACTTATTACTTGGCAGTCTAAATGAATTCAAGTGCTGCCTGATACTATCCTGCGCACTTCCTTTTTTGTTTGGTCTTTGTTCCGCCGCTAATCACTTTTTCCTTCACAGTTTTACTGTATGAACTTAAAGCATGTTTTATTCAGCCTGGATTGCCCTAGGTCCCTAAGGCTGTTGAAGTCAGTCCTGTGACTGGCAGGTGGGAGGTATATAGGACACAAGAGGGTAAAGTATTTTTCCAGTATGTATAATGTGGGAAAAAGCTTGAGAGCAAAACAGTCAACAGCAGGTAGGTGAAACTGTTTACAAGGTAGTTCAGAGAGAACATGTAGGGGGCAAGAGGCTTGTAGATGCTGGTCTGGATACTGGAGTATTCTGGCTCCTAGCACTGACAGCAGTTTGTGTGTCAGATTTGGTGGAGTAGGACACTTAAAAACTAGAGCTTCCAAGAAGTCTTGTTTTTATCTCTTAGATTCATAGAATCACAGAATCACAGAATGGTTTGCACTGGATCTAAAAGATCATCTAGTTCCAATCCCCCTGCCATGGGCGAGTTGCTCAAAGCTCTCTCCAACCTGGCCTTGAACACTTCGAGGGATGGGGCATCCACAGCTTCTCAGGAAAACCTGTGCCAGTGCCTCACCACACTGACAGTGAAGAATTTCTTCCTAATATCTAATCTAAACCCACCGTCTTTCTGTTTGAAGCCATCAGCTTTGTCCTGCCATCAGCCTGGAGTCAGAGAGCCATGGAGGCACAAGCATTTCCTCAGCCCTGAGGCCCTGAAAATGTGTGAAATGTCTGCTCTGTAAGTGTATAGTTTGTTATTGTTGTCATTAGTTAATAAATTAAGTACCCAGCTCTGGCCACAGTGAAGATGGTTACCCCCATAACACTGGCACCTGTGCTTGCTGAAGGGAGGAAGGTCCAAAGCTTCCCCAGCTCAGAGAGATGATTTACAGCCAGCGCATGGAACACACACTTTCCCTGGATACCTAGGTCGTCGTGGTAAACATGGTGATTGGGATAGTTAGTGGAGGTGGAGAATTAGGGAATAACATTCTTTAAAGGTCACCTAATCATGAGATCCCAGCAGCCTGTGTTCTGTGAGGAGTCTGTGTAAGAAAACATTTTTTTTGGCTTGAGGGATACATGTATCAAGAATATAAATAAATAAATAACCCCAGAAAAAAACCTCTGCTAAATCATCAGGTTTCACGTTTTGCTCAGCTTCAGTTCCAGCTTTTTGACACTTTCTTATCCTATCATTTTGTCCTTGCTTCACTTACTGTTTCTGGGCTAGCCATGCAAAATATTGCTATTGCTGCAACTGTCCATATTTAGCATAACATAGAAGAGAGGTAACTGTTGTAATTCATGTGTATTTTAGAGAAGAAAAGGTGGCCAGAATAAGTGCCTTTGAGTTTATAGTGTAGAATGAAAATTGCTAGAAACAACCTTGTCTTCCATCTCCAGTTGCATATGGAACAGAAAAATCCAACCTAATTTTTCTCTAGTTTGTTAATTGGTTCTCTGAAAAGGAGCATATGTATGAATCACCCTGATGTATGCTCTGGTTAGATGATAACCTTCAAGACATTTGTTAAAGGAGACTTCCATCTCTCCTCTTTTCCACTCTGCTACCTGGATTGCATGGTTGGAGGTGAGCTGGAATTTTATTTAAAGGTAACATCAAAATAACATCAGTCAGGCAACAAATAGCCTAAAATAATTAAAGGGCAACACAAATCTATCTCAAAGGAAAGTATAAAACCATTCAGGTTTCAAATGTGTCCTTGAATTTTTAGTAAGATTTTGGAAATAACTGGGAATATGTAACAACAGGTAATTACTTATATCCTTATTACATAAAATTAGGAGATACCAGATAATGCTGCTGGGTACACAGATCTTTAGAATGGAGCGTGTGCCCCTATGCTCCATTTAGAATAAACAAAGTCAATATAAAATTCTTTTGCTCAGACATGGAAAGAAATAGATCAAGAAGGTGCAAAGGATTTTACTGCAACCTGTTAAGCCTCAGCATCCTCTCTGTCCCTTTTCCTACTGGAAGGAGAAGTAGTTGGGTGCCCAGCCTTCCCCTGTCCTTGAAACCTCTTTTTGCTCTTTTATGCTTAAATCTTCTCATGAAGAAAACCTAATGCAGAGCTGTGAAGTCTGACAAGAATAGACGTACCTGTTACAGGAGTTGGATGCTGCAGCTGCTCAGCTGTTGGTATATCTAACCTCTTTGGTTTTTTTTTTTCATGCAGATCAAGGCACTGTCGTTAGCCAGTTGTCAGCATAAGATGAAGCACCCGTGTGCCTGAGGCAATCTGTTACTCTTACACCATTCAGAAGAGAGTTTCTTGACTCTCTAGTCATTCTAGGCAGAGCAGTTTGGGTTTCCCTGATTGACCTTTCTAATTTAGTTGGATGAACTGCTAAGTGCTGGGAATGGTTTGATGATTTCACAAATATTTGATATTGTGATGTTTTTATAAATTGCTTTCTTCAATGAGTGCAGTTCCCAAGTAACTGAAAGTGCTTATGATTCCAGTAGTTACCCCAAGTACTCTATAATTTCATCTCTGACTCCCCTCTGATCACAGAAATAGAGCAGATAAACCCTACAGTCCACTTATTTTTGCCCTAAATGATTTTGAGATTTTAATCAGATCAGTTAGAAACTGCTAACTGAACTTGCTGGTTTACTGAAACCTCTCTAAATCAATGTATTCAAAAGGAGAATTATATAAATAAAGCCTTAAAAAATGTGTAAGAAGTGTTCCAAATAGCTTAACAGCAAGTTCATAATGGAGAAATATCCTTGCCAAGAATATTTCAGTATACTCATGTTTCAACACAAAGTAATTTCTTACTCTACTATGATTAATAGCAGCAGTGTTTCTGGGCAGGTGCCAGATGTCCTCCAGCTCTGCAAAGCAGAGAGCCAAGGTGACACGAATGTCTGCCCTGCTCTGTGCTTGCTGCAGGTATTTCAATTACTTCCATATGGTGAAGATCCTCCTGTATATTTTCTTAATTAAAATAATGGAGGAGCACACGTTACAGGATACTTCTGTAACAGGTCTTGTTAATTCAAATCAGGAATCTGTATTTTCTGTATTGTGATATATTTCATACTGAGTGCTAGGTTGTATTTAGTCTCAACAAAATGTAATACAGATAGTAAAAAAGAAACATCTTTCTGCACAGTATGATAATTTTTAAAACAATTCCTTCTCTTCTTCTGAAAAAAAAGTCCCCTTAATGTGCTAGGAAATGGCACTTAAAATTTCCATTCCTGAAGTGCTGACCTGAATCTACTTCACTTGCTGTTGGCAATTTGGTCATTACGTTAAACAAAGTTATCCAAATATTCCTTGAAGGTAGACAAGGCTACTTTTTTATATATTTTGGGAAAAGATTATTCAAAACTAGTGTTAAGCTTTGTTATTTAACAAGTCACTTGGGTCATATTTATATAATTTCTACTGCAAAAAATAGCATTTAATCTTCATGTTAATTGTTGACATTCATAAACTTTTATTTGGAATGCTGCTAAGGATTCAAAATTCCTGGGATGATATAAATGTAATGATATATACCAAGCCACTTCTCTACCATCATGGAAATTTTCAGTCCTAGTCAGTAAACAAAGAGAAGTTCATAATTGTCTGTTACCAAAATCACTGGTAGGTACCATTTTTGTAGGGAAAATATTTTACCCTTAGGCACCTTAGAAATGCACTGCTGAAGTAAGAGATTATCATTTGAATATATGAGAAATTCCATCCTCTAGCTTATTATTTGTTTCAAAGTGTTACTTCTTTTCCATAATAGTCTGTTATCTATTATTTTATTACATTTGACCTATACTGTTTTGAAAGATTCTCTTATATGGTCAATACCCAAGACCAAAGTTTTAGCAGATAAAAATGGCTATAAATAGATCTCTAACCAAACAGTAGATGTCACTGGGTCTAAGACTATTTAATATAATTTCTGGTCATCACATATTAGGTTACAATGAATAATTGAATACGCATCTGGTACTCAATAAAACAAAAGATGGATTCAGTGATACAGCAAATCTTATTTAAGAGAAGTATGTAAAAAAAAAATCAACAACATTTCTTCTTTTAACAATCTTAAGCATAAATTGTAGGACAGCTGCTTTATTGCTTTTTACTCAGCCTGGGAATTTCTCCTCTTACACAACACAATGCAGAAGACGCAGAGCTTCATAGATGCCCTTTTTCCTTGGGCAGACTTTCTGCTTTTATATAAGTGGACTTCCTGAGGCTGTCCCATGTACGTGTAACCTCTGTGATCTCTAGAAGTTGCAGAGCATTAAGATTTCAAGAAAAATCTGACTTGCTGCTCAGCAAT